CACTTCCAGGGCTTTGCCTGCTGCTCCCCAGCTGCCCTCCCGAGCAGGACTGGACAACCAGAGAGGTGGACCACGACCACCACTCCCTCCGGACCGACCGGGCTCAGCAGCACCGCCGCCACCACCGCCGCCTTCATCAGCTGTCAGAAACGGCTTCCAGGATCCAGGTGATGGTAAGCCATTCTCCCAGTTGTTTGCCTTTGATAGAAACCATGTAGCAGCTTTTGGCCTTAATACGGCAAAAAGAGTTTGGGATAGGGGCTTTGTTTCTAGTGCAGACTTTTGATTTCTGATCAACAAAGGTGTCATCTGGGTCTCGATTAACCCTGCCAAGTAAGAACGGAGTAAACGTGCCATACATAGAACAGAACTGCAAAGTTGTCAATACAGTTCCCAAAATAACCCTTTGAAAAATAGCCTGAGAAAAACAAACATATTCACTGCGCTTTGCTTTGCTGCAATACAGAAATAAGGCCTAAGGGGATTGTTCTGAATCTAGTATGAATTCAAACCATAGCCATGCTAAAACTCTTTGGAAGGAAGAACAAGTTAGATGATGACTCAAAAGCTGACAGCTGAAAAATGGATGAGGGAAGAGATTGTCAGAACACTGCTGAAAATGTCAAGTATCTCCCTTTTTGCTAGTGTTTGTTGAAAAGATAAGGTCCAAGATTGCTGTGTTTTAAAGATTCATCATGCTTTTCTTTTTAATTCTTTTTGATTTGCAAAGGACAGATAAATCTTTCAGCTAATTATGGGAGGCCAAAATTGGTATTTCTGACATTTATAAGGTTAAAAAAGCATGCAGAAAATAAAGCTGTAACTCACGCTTTTGAAGCATCTTCACACCTCAGATAAGGCAGGTGGGTCACAGACACATTTTTTCCTGTGCAAGTCATTTGCAGAGTTCAGAACCTGCGGCTCCTTTACATACTGGTTTCTAATTGCAACCATTGGGAATAAACACAGAAAAACAGGATCCCAGCGAACAACCACATGTACAACTGCTGGGCAAAACTTACTCAGCTGTTGATTACATTGTACAATAAAATATAACAATATTGCAAGAAAGTTATGGTTACAAAGTCCTGAAGCAACCAAGTGAAGAAATGTAAAGGTTTTAAGATAGCCCACTCTTTCTTCCTTGGGCCTCCAAATTCAAGTGCAGAACAGAGCTCCGTAAACATTTCTTATTATTTCCATGCAGAAACTGATCAGCTTGATTTATTCTTTAGAATCCTATACACCAGTAGGGCCCCTGTAGTCTCAAGAGATATGGTTTAAATGGATGTATTTTTTCATTTTTGACACTAGTTACATACAGGTTTCTCTGTCATCATAAATTTTATCATAATGGCTCTAAATTTTCTTTTTCCTGTATAAAAATTAAGAAAGAGAAAATACTTCTTACAGGTCAGTGTGCTTTTAGTGATGTTTTTGAGCTCTGTATGTCAACGAAGTATGAATATCAGAACAAAATACTGTTCTGAAGTAGGAGACACTACGCATTCCAGTAACATGTATATATGTATGCATGTGTGAGTTAAAAGAGGAGATCTACTATACATGGAAGGCAACGTAATGCTTACTTCAGTGGAATTATGGCTATTTTTCTGATCTGTGATTTTGTGTTAAATTGGCTAAGCGATCAGTTGAAGTTAATGAGAATTTTCGTTCTCAGACTAACCTAAAGCAGCTTCTTCCCTGACTTTCCAGTAGAATATTGGTTCAATACTCAGCTACGTAAGCATTTTGCAATATAAAACATGTATTAAACATGATGTTAATGTCAATTTTTTCTTGAAGCTATGTCACAAAACTACTGAGTAAATTGTGTGGGATTTTTTTCAGATGAATGGGAAAGCAGATTTTCTTTTCATCCTATATCTGATTTGCCACCTCCAGAGCCATATGTACCCATGAACAGAAGTTATCCCAGTAAACTAGCAAGAAATGAAAGTAGAGGTAAGTTTGTTCCACCTCTACCGTTGGAGTTTCAGTGTATTATCCTAAAAACGATGTGGATGAGGAGGAGACCAAATGTCGAGGTTTCAAAACTTCTCAGACCAACAGCCCTGGTCACCTTTCCCTGCCACACAGAAAAAGCTAAATGCAGATTCGCAGGCACAAGCCCTCTTAAATTGGTATTTGAGGGAGGAGTTATTTGGTTTTCAGTTGAAATGTGTATTGTAGTCAGCCCCCTTCTGCTAGAGGCAGCCAGAACCAAAAAATCCCCTAGGACTTCCTCCTCATTTCCCATCTAAATTCATGCGCAACTCATTTATTCTTGTGCCAACATCATCCCTGAGTTTAGTTGTCCTTCCTCCTTGGTGTGTTAAACCCCTAATATTTTTTAAGACAACAGTCGTATCTTCCTCTCCGCTTTTGTTTTGCTGGGCTGATTAAATCAGGATATTCTACACTCTGCTTCCAAGCTATGTTCTCGGATGGTCGGGGTTGGTACATGTTTCGGTTGGATCAGTGTTTGGTTCAATCAGTGTTACATGCTGTTCCAGTTCAGATCTCAACCATCTCTTCTACAGCAGCATAAATGTTTCTTATCTTCATTAGTGGTATTTTGCCCTATATACTCAAGGATCAATTTACTTCTTTCACAACCAGTGACATCAGTGGCTCATAGTTATCCTGTAATCATCTGTACACTCAGATGTTTCTCTCTCTCCCTCTCTCTCTCCCCCCTCCCCACACCCCGTTTCCAAATGATGACGTTTTGGTTTGGAGCAGAAATTCCTGACCCTTCACTTTGTCCTGTTAGCTTTCATCCCATTCGTATCACTCCGTGAAGAAAGACAAAGTAATACATGCATGTTTTATGTTTCCTTTCATGAGTTGGCAATTAAAATCATCATATAGGGAAAAACATGGAGAGCTTTGAAATGTTGCTGTGTTTAGAGCTTGCCACTTTCATTGAAATTTGCAAGTGTTACAAGTAGCACTGAGAAGAAGGTATGAGTTCGCGTAAAATAGTAAGGCTAACAAGAGCTATCAATCTGTTTTGAGAAGGGGACAAAGGGCTAAAACACATATGCTTTCCAGACATTTGGGGATAGCATTAGTTGAAAACTTTCTTTTACACTGTTTGAAGTTTTGGTGTTGTTTAATAAACTAACCAGAAACTCTACAAAGATTTTTTAGTAAAACAGCTAGGCAGGAAAATGAGTAGATCTTCATCAGTTACTGAATTAATGGCTTGGATGTAAACCCCCACTTTAAAAGAAAACAGGAGGAGTAACACAAAAAACTTTCTTTCTCTTTTAGGTGGCTCCGGCCGAAAAGAAAGAGGTGCCCCCCCACTTCCGCCTATACCAAGGTGAAATGGGTTCTGGCCCATCTTTGGGCGACATCTGTTTTCAAGTTTCCTTCGAGTCAGCTCTCCTGTCCACATCATTGGAAAGTTGTCTGTTTTGCTTTATTTCCACTTTTGGCTTGTCAGCTGGAACAAACTTCAGTCTCTATTACAGAAGTAATAGATGCAGCTTATGAACTAGAGTTGCTCAAAGCTATAAATTTTATTTGCTTATACTGCAGGCTGTCATGAAAGGCATTTTGTGGACCATACACAACATACGTGCATCATGCTTACCCTGTCCAGCCCTGTCCCCTTGAGAGCTCCACGGGAGGTCTAGATTTGAATTTAATGAGAACTGGAACAAAGCTGTTTCATTCACTTTGGGTACAGTGGCTGTATTATTTGAATGATAAAGTACTATCTATTTTCTGTTTAAAAAACAGTTGCTGGGGAAAACCGTGTAGCCAAGAGTCCCCTGGATTCTTCTTTGCATGCCTAATTTGGCCCGTCTGCTTCTGCAAGCCATAGACCTACTACATAGTGACCAAGACTTCATCCTAAACCTGTTTTCACTTCAGCTTAGCTAAGCAAATCTTATTTAAACAATAGGTAGCACATCCTGCCTCGAAGATGGAGTGTGTCTGGCCTTGGTTTTATCTGCGGAGAATCTTCCAAAGAAAAGCACAAGCGAAGAATTCATCAGCATAAAAATATCCATTTTTTTAAATCCCTCTTTCCTTGTGTTTTAATAGCATTATGCTTTTAGTCACTTAATTCTTTCCTACTCTGATGTGGACCAACCCAGAGTCATCCATGTCCTAGGGTATTGTGATGCCCTCTACCTGAGACTACACGTGCAGAGGCCTCAGAAAGTAGTCTTGGTGCAAATGCAGCAATTACTGTAGTTGCAGGCTCCTTCTGTAAAGCGTCGCTAACACCAGTGCTCCACAGGCTGCTTTCCAGTTGTTTCTTTGGTACAATTAAATGACAGGTTTTGACTTAAAAAGCTTCCTGGGGCTTAGGTCACAAGTCTCAGAGAGATTGTATTTGACTTGCGTTACAGTAGAGCAGCTGAGGTCAAAAACACACGTAAGCGAAAGCCCTTTGATGTAGTGAAGAAGGTCTGGGGTTTGTGTGTTCAAGTGGGAGCATCAGCTCCAAAATTTGCTGTCTGCGCTGGTTCAAGAGAAATGGCAAGATTTGGCCTTCTGAGTTTGCCATGAAGCCTATCCTTTCAACCTTTGCTGAAAGGAGTGTCTGCAGAGAGCTGCAAGGCTTACGTTAATAGAAGAGAGAGTAAAGTTCTAACATTATGAAAATTGGTTAATGTGTTTAATGGCTTTTGAATTTTGTATATGAGAAAAAAGTTCATTGTACGAGTGCATTTTACAAATGCATCTGGACGCATATAAAATGCCTTTGGAAATTAGAGGAAGATTATAATTCTGGATTTGAAATATTGTTGAATGATAGCTCTTTGTTAATTGGACTTCTGAAGGTTAGCTCTGAAAAATTTCTTCTCCGTCTCCTCAGCAGCTTCTGTTTCTTCAGCATACTCCATGGGATCCCTACCCAGCCTGTATCAGCAGCCATGCTTCACAGGGTGTTGCTCCGGGGAAAAAAAAAAAAAAAAAAAAGAAAAAGAAAAAATAGTCACGTAGGTTAAGAAGATGTTTCCCTAGCTTGGGAGACATGATCCTCAGTACGCTCTGCAGCTAGAATGAGATCAGTCCTTGAAAATCTAGGGAATGTAGCCGAAGAGAGTCTGGACCCCCCTGAAGTGTTCGTGCATAGGGCTTTTTGCTCTGTCAGTGGGTGCGGAGGGGCAGATCCCCTTTCTGCCCGACAGTCTGGACAGTCACAGTGAAGGGGACGAGACAGAGTTAGATTTGGCCAGATCACATTTAATTTGGCCTTTTCAGTGTTTGTTTACAAAATCTTGTTAGCTGTGATAGCATTTGATTATGTACCTGGTTTTTACATTTTCGTGTCTGATGACCTATTTTAAGTTACCATCTATGGTCTTGAACCTGCAATTAAATGCGCAGGCGCAGGGATGTATCTACATCTAATTGCAGGATCGTGGCTGTAAGAGTTTCTTGTTAAACAGATATTCGTGGGACCTCCATGTGACAGGTGCACCTTGGGATCAAACCTAGCGCAATACTGAATTTGTATATGTATTTTATGGATGTCACTTAAACGTATGCACTGTACAAAGTGCTTGTCTCTTTGGGATATTATTATGTGAATAGAAGTCCAAATAAGATTTTTAGGATAATAACTTAAAGGATAAATTATTGTATTCATGTTATGAAACTGAAGCACTTATAACTTTCTAAGAAACAACATTTTGAATTTAAGAATACAATATTTTCAGTAACTTGACCTGCCAAATCCTTATTAATATCCAAATAGCTATGCAGCCAAATAAATAAATAAATAAACCTCCAGAAACAATACCTTTTTTGTAACTTACCTGCTTCCAGCATGACTGTTTTACTTTGAGTAAGTCAATGAAAATGCTGCACGTTGTTCTGCCAACTCTCTGCATCATTCAAAATATCCTGTATTTGATCTTTTGAGCAAGGTTTTCTGACCAGAAATTCTGGACCACTGCCAAAGACTTGGAAAACCAGCTTCAATCTCACTTCGAAATGTGCTGTGCAAAAGGCCCTCAGTCAACAAGCCAAGAAACTTGAGCTGCTTGGGTTTCAGCACTTCTTTGTACTATAGAAACCTCTTCAGAATGGATGTTTGGCATACATGTAAAATAGCTTAACAGTGCAGAGTTATTTTTTTCACCTAAAACCAACCTTATATTCTTTGCCATAAAAGTCCTTATATATACTCCAGAACAATGCAGCATTTTATCATTCAATGTATTTCTTCATATATCAGTAGTTAATTACAATATGATCAGTATTAAGGTATTTATTTCACTATGAAGAGTTAAAATAGAGCAATGCAAAACATGTCGAATCAGTGGTGCCTTACGACTTTTTTAGTCAACTTTTCTGTGTCTCACTAGAAAAATCAGTAGGTGTTGCTCTTCCAAGTCCTAATGTAAATAGTGCTGACTAGCATTTAACTTCAGGTTGAGCTCTGTGTAGGGAGAGACTATTGCATCACTCTTTAGGTGAGACGGAGGTGGGCACTGGTTAACCTCACAATCAGTTGTTGGTATTGCTCTGGAAATTTAACCCTTTCCCAAAACCAGTGTCTCACGCTGCTGTCCATACAGCCCAGCTGACTTCAGTGTGGTTGCATAGGTTGTTAGAGGACTAAATTTGATTCACTGCTTGCAGATAAGATTTTAGAGGGTTTGTTTCAAAGGCATTGTATTATAAACCTTCACACCTCAAACTGTCTTTTTATGTCGTCACTAAGACTTGCATTGCGTGACAATGGCCACGGATGTTCATTTTTTGTTTAATTGAAGTCAGTTAATAAAATAGGAATAACTTTTTTACCATGTGACAATAATTTCTGCTCAATATTTTTTGAAAAAAAGCACGTTGTGTCTGTTATGACTTTCTGCCCCAGCCATTGGGAGAAGAGGTCACGGTGATTAATTTTCAGAATTGTTAAAGGAAACACAGATTGTGATTCAGGAAGCACGTATTTCTGTAAATGAAGTACTTCTTAAATAAGGTCGCAAAGTTCTTGTTGAGAAGCCAGCATTTCCCAACACTAAAAAAACTTAAGAACAATTTTTTTTTTTCTGCAAGACTGAACTATTAAAGAAGTTCCTTAAATTGTCACTTAAAAAACTGGACCGTAGTTTCTCCTTGCAGCAATAACTGTTTACATGTCACTTGTAGAAGTAGGTCTTTGTTGGAGCAGAGGATGAGGGAACTAAACTGCTATTGTACTTCACATATGTTGTAACACAACCATTTTCTGTGCAAAAGTGTGCAAACAGAAAGAGTACTTTTTGCCTTGGAAGCAAAGAATGGAGTTGAGTGATCAAACTGGGATTATTTCAAGCAGAATGTTAAATTTCAAGAGACCTAGAGAGGGCCCCTCAGCCACAGGATGCTGGAGAGGAGAAGATGCTCAAGGAAATACAAACCAATTGGCTGAATGTTGCTATCAATGCTGGAGTACAAGTTGTGACATAAAAATGTGCATGCACGTAATAACCACATTGCAATGGTGTGAACACCGTTGCCTCATAGCCAGGTGCGAACAACCTCTTACGGCGGTACGTTGGCTCTGTACAACATATATTGTATGAACTTTCATCTTTCAAACTGTGTTCACCGGAAGATAAGGGGAATCTCTTACCTAAGATATCTGGTAACACATTATGTGTTGCTAGTTCATGGCATGGTTCTTCACGTACTTGGGGAGAAAAACGGGGATCTTGTAGCCTGTAAGGTGGGAGTGTCTCGCCCGTTCTGTTGAAGGGTAAAGCTGGAGCACTGGCAAAAAGGGGAGTGCTGGAGTTACTCAGCAGAAGCAGGGCACATATATGTGTGCTCAATTAGTGAGTATGTGGCCGGTAGGTAGGCAGACTAAAAGAAGAAAAGTGGAAACTGCATGTCTTAAAAAGGGAGTAACCCTTCAGTATGTTGCCATTTTGAAATACAGTTTGTCTGTGATAAACGTTCTTTAGTGTAAACTAAAGCATGCAAAGGAAGATTCCTAAATTGGGACGTCCAAAGCCACACGAGTCTACGAAAGAGAGAAACATAACTTAAAACGTAGGCTGAGCAGAAAGTAACATGTTTTTATCAGATGCTTAAAGTTTGAGCTTTCTATAAAATATGCACCTAGTTCTGTGAATATTTTTCTACTTAACATTTATCTTATATGTGATTTTGTTCTCTTTATTTTTCTGTCCTATGCCAAATAAATTTTACTTTTATTTAATTGGTGGTGCAGACTGTTACATTGAGAACAACCACGGTCACTTCTGTGATGGAAACACACGTCAGCTTTAGCAGGAGCGTTAACAGCGAGCCTGGCAGGAGCCGGGGCAGGTTCTCCTCCCCTCCTGCCTGCCATTGCCCAGCAGCACAGCAGTGACACTCCGAGGACTTTGGGCCTCCATACAGTGAAGATTAGACACCTGCAGATAAGGAGAAATAATGAGTTTAGTTTAGGATAAAGAATATTTGAAAATCTGCGGTCAGTGATGCTGTACTTGGAGACGGCTGTTGTGTAAGCTATGGGTGTTGGCTCTTGGCAAGGCAAGCTGCGCACTTGCCATGGGGAGATTACATGGAAAATGACTCTCATTTAAGCACAGATTTTGATTCCTCTTATCTCCTCTCACGAGGCAGAAGGCTGCCAGAGAGTATCAAAGAAATTAACCCCTCCTTTTGACTTTAGAGCCCTGTGCTTTATCTTGGATGCTAACCTTTCAGATAATTTGGACAGGTTCATCACAGAAAGGCCTTTGGATGAAAGTCCAAAGGAGGCTTGAACTCAGGCTGCACTTCCAGCTTGTGCTCAGAAATTAGGGCATTTAAAACCCTGAACTAAAAAGCTCTATGCTGTAACTCACCTGCCTTGCAAAGGCTTTAGCAGCAGGCTTACTCTGACGCAGATGGTGGATCCTTTGACATCTCTGGAGACAG